AAAAAAGTTTCTTTTATTTCAGAAAAGAATGAAAGAGAAAAATGTGTGTATATATACACACCTATGTATGGTGGGGGGGGGCGTGCAAGTGTGCAAGAAGGGAGTGGCCATGGCAAGAAGGAGAAAGTGCTGGCCCAAGGAGAAGCTGGGTCAAAGTTCTTAAAGGGTAAAAAATCTTTCGTGTGTTCTCTCCTTCAGCAGACTGATAACAGAAGCGTCTGTGAGAAGTGGGGGAGTTGGCCTCCCCCTTTCTCTTTCGCTGGAGGACAGTTTGTCCTCGGGATGGGGTTTTGACAGGCACTGAGGTAGAGAGCTGGAGCAGGGCGCTTGCCCCCCTGCTGTCCACTGAGGGCTCTTCAATGCTGAGAAAAGGAGGCTGTTAGAGCTAAGTTATGCCACAGGTGTTTTAACCAAACCAGACAAAGGGGGTAGCTGTGAATGTTCCCTTCAGAGGAGCAGTTAGGTGCTGTGAGTTCATTTCCTTACTTTCTGTTTGATAGTTTATTTTCCTTGATTAGATAGGTTATTAGCTGTCAGTAGCTACACATTAGGTTTAGCTACACGGACTAGGTTTCAGTAGCTACGCAGGGGACCCTGCCTTGATTGCAGGACCATCAGCCAGGTTCTCTGGCTTAGCTCAGATCCTTGGTTGAGGATGCCAGGACTGGGTGCTCTGCAGGCAGCTGTAGCTAGAGGGGAGGGGCCAGAAGGAGGCAGGACCATGATCAAGGCTGTATGTGTGAGAGAGAGAGAAAGAGAGAGAGAGAGAGATGCAAGAACCAAGAGGGAACTTGATGTGGGAAAGCACAATAAAATATGACTTTCAGTTATTTCCAATATGTATCCTTGAAATACTGTTTTGCATGACTTTCCTGTTGTCCCAAATGCATCTGGCTGTCACTTTTATTTAGGCAGGGTAAGTTTGGGGGAGGCATCTCACACCTCCTTGGGGACCATGGTTGTGCCCTCCCCACTCACGATTCCACGAATGTTTGGGGGTCTTCCTTTTTACAAGCTAATGAGCTGCTAGAAACACGGACATCCTAAGCAGCCTTGGCCTGTCCTTATGAACCTCAAACTTCCCGGTCCTGGCGGGGTGGGGGGTGGAGAAGAAGCCCCTTACAGCCACGGGTCAGTGGAGGGTGGTTGGATGTGCCCAGTCTGATGGCTCCTGAACACGCTGCAGTTCACTCAGTTACTTCTACAAACTGGCTCACTCTCACTGGCATGAGACACCGGCCTAGTAACTGCACAAGCAGCAATGCCGGGGACGAGCGAGCTCCTCGCCGAGCAGCCGGCTGGAAGACATTGGGAGACAGAACGAGTAGCAGGGTTGGCTCCGTTCAGATGCACAAGTGTGCCAGGCAGTGTGCTGGGTGCACAGCTGGGGGGAAAATGAAGCTTTCAGGACAGTCAGCCCGGAAGGTTACACACACCGACAAAGCCGCGAGTCCTGCCCGGGGCCGATCTGCAGCATCCTCCCCGCTCGGGGCAGCCTGGGGGCGCAGGCCGAGCCGGGGTGCGGCCCGGAGCGCGCTGCGCCTTCCAGAGCGGAGGGCGGCGCGAGGGAGGGAGCGAGGGAAGGGAAGGCGAGCGTGAGCTGCCTCAAATGCTTGGAATAATTCCGCTTCCGTTTGGAAAGCCGCAGCCTCAGTCCCGCCGCCGCCCGCCGCGTCCGCCCAGCGCCCGCTCCGCCTTGCCACCGGCCCGCGGCTGCCCGCGCCGCTGCCATGGCCACCTCCCCGCAGAAGTCGCCTTCAGTCCCCAAGTCCCCCACTCCCAAGTCACCCCCTTCCCGCAAGAAAGATGATTCCTTCTTGGGGAAACTCGGAGGAACTCTGGCCCGGAGGAAGAAAGCCAAGGAGGGTGAGTGTAGCCGGGCCGGGCGAGCCGTGGGGGCCCGGGGCCCGGGGCCCGGGGCCCGAGGGCCGGGAGGGGCCTGGGCGGGGGCCGGGCGGGAGCGCGCCGCGGGTGCCCGGGCGGTGGGGTGAGCGGCGACGCGTGCGCGCGCTTCCCGGGCTGGCCGGGCCGGAGCGACGCGCGCCCCGCTTTGCGGCCCTGCGCCCGCGGGCCATCGAGGCGGTCAGCCAGGCGCTGCCTTCCTGGGCCTGGGACCAGGCCTCCGCCCCGTGGCATCCGGAGGCGGCCGGACCGGAGCCCAGGCCCAGACCCAGCCCGCGGGCGGCGTCCTCCAGTAGGCCCGAGCCCCCGCCCTCTCCGTACCCAGAGGCTGGCATTTCCCGAGTTTCTGCTGAAACTTTTCTGAGCGCCATCACTCTCACTTTTTGCCTTCACTGGTATTTGAAATAAATCAGGTCATTTTCTAGACCTGCTGAAGGCCTCCTGCTGCTGCATTGGCCTCTGGATCTTTTGTCCAACCCCAAGGCCCAGCAGGGCTCTGTTCGCGGAGTAGATCAACACCAAATGTTTGTTGAATGAATGAGTGAAAAACTGGCAATCCTGCCGGTCCCATAGCGTAACAAATGATCGACTCCCACCCGTGGAGAAAACCGAGAGTAGACACACAAGCTGAGCACCATAGGCCTTGACTCTGGTCTAGACCTGGGTGTTGAGGGCTTTTGCAAAAACCATTTTCTTTTTCCCATGAGGGTAAATTGAGGCGACCTTATCTTTTTTTCCAGAATGATGTGCATATAAAATATTTGGTCTCATGAGCAGATTTTTCATGCTGGTTTTGGGTTTGCAAAACAAGGTGGCAGTTCTCAAGAAGCACTGTTAGTGATCTGTGTGGAGATCAAAGTTGCTGGTTAAAAACATTTGCTTTAATAGACTGTTCAGCTATTGGAAATAATCGTTTGAAAGCTGTGATGCTGAGATGTAAAAGAAGTTTTGTGTTTTTGAGTTATCTTAAAGGGTGTAAACTTAAGTGTTGATAATTATCCACTTTGACACACAGAAGTAGATGTCTCTAGACTGAAAGGAATAACAGCAAAACATAGTCCCAAATGGGTTATTTTGTTAATCTGTTGAGTCATGTACAGTTGATAGCAAATCACAAACTTGTGGCTTCTTGCAAAGCCCTTTTCTAGACTATCCTTTTAACTTTTTTCTACAGTATTGCTGACCTAGGCTCATCCCGTTTGAACTGGGTAATGAGAATTACTGAAGCTGTAACCTCCCAGGAGTATTCACCCCACCTCTACTAACTCTGTAGAAAAGTTTACTTTATATCTAGCCAAAGTTGGTCTCTCTGAACCTACTACTATTTGTGGAGCCAGAGAATGAGTATGATGGTGGCCCCTCACCTCTTCCAAGTAGACAAGCTGCTGTCTGGCGTCTTCCTTCTACCAGGCCGAATGTCCTGTTCCTATAGCTGGTTCTCACATGCATGACTTTAAGGCTTTCTGGCGTCCTGGCTTTTCAGTTTCACTAGGGTCCCTGCAGGAAACACAAAGCTATTTTCGTTGATTTTGACAATAATTTAGCAAAGAGACTATTTCCACAGCTGTGGGCAGGGTTAAGGGAACCAAGAAAGGATAGCAGCAGGGGAAGGGAGAAGGGAAGCAAACTGGAACCTGGAGCCTTGGAAGAGGGGCTGCCCGACAGGAACTGAAGTCGTACAGGGATGCTGCCACTGTCAAGGACATGCAGATGAGCAGGCAGAGGGTGGCACAGGAAACGTGTGCTCTGCGTGTGCTCTCCTTGCTCTTGCATCTCCTGTGGGTGCTTCCGTTTGGCTGAACCCAGTGGGAAGCCACCAGGGTAAGAGGATCTCAGTGATGCATCGCACATGTATAGGGGCCAGTTCCCATAGGGCACAGGGCAATGCAGAGACTAGATCACAGCGGAGTGGGGGAAATGGAGAATACCTAGCAGACTCCTCCAAGTGAGTTGCTCAGAAGTCAACATAGCGCAGTGATAGCACAAGCTTTCTGGCCCAGATTAGAACAGGACTGTCATCTCCCTCAGTCTAGCATAGGCATCATGCCCTTTTAATGCAGCTAAGATTGCTTTTCTCTATTCTGCCTGGTGCATCATACATTGTGCATCCCTCATTGAGCTTGTTATCAGCTTAAAGACATTTTTATATTTGTTGCTCTTAAGCTATATCCTTCCTTACCTTGGATTTACTCAGTTTGGTTTTTGAAACCAAGAGTGAAAGATCTTATTTTTATCCCTGGTATACTTAACTATAAAGTCCCAATTCTGTCATTCAGTCTAATCCAGAGGCTACAAATGGGTCATTAGAGCACACAGCTTCTTCCAGAGGGGCTGGCCACCACCCAGCTCCAAGTGCTTGCTGCTGGAGGTTGGTGGTTCTCTGAGCCCAAAGAAGGTGGTGGCGTTGGTCTGAAATGACTATTCTTAGAGAGCCTATGCTGGATGTGTGATCAGTGCTGTCCCTGTCCAGGGCCCAGTAATCATCCCAGCAACAAGAAAGTCCCTCTGCATCCTGCACGAGCTCATATGAGCTCATAGCTTTGTGCTTTGGGGGCTGCCTTCTGTTTTCCCCCTGGTGTTTTAAAATCTCTCATTCTTCATTCTTTAAGATCTCTGACATTGGTCTGTCCACAAATTATCTCTGTGTTTCCACCTAGAATGCTCCTGGGCCCAAGGATTCCCATTCATTCAATACCTGCTGTGTCCTACTATAGGATACAACAATTGGAAAGACATAATACATGTTAGTTAGAATACAGTTGACCCTTGAACAATGTGAGGGTTAGGGGCACTGATCCCTGCAGACTCAGAAAATCCATGTATAATTGTTGGTACCCTAAACTACTTATAACCTACTGTTGACTGGAAGCCTTACCATTAACATAAGAGAGTTGATGAATACAAATTGTGTATGTTATATATGTGTTCTATACTGTATCTTCCAATGAAGTAAGCTAGAGAAAAAATATTAAGAAAATCATAAGGACGAGAACATACATGTACAGTATTATCTTATATTCATGTTATTTTTTTACAAGATGAATTGTCAGTTTGAAAGGGCAGGCAGCTGAGCTGTAGACCCCAGTCTATGGTACATGTCAAGCAACTCAACTTTTTTTGGTCATGTCATGACTTTTATCTGCTGCTTTGGGAGCACTTCCAGCATCACAAGTGGCACTTCTATGGGTCCCATGGTGTTATTCAAGATTTATGGTATTGCACTAAATACAATGAAAAATACATGAGAATAGAAAGAGATTACTTTAACTCTGATATGCAATTTATTGGAGAGATGAACTGTTCACGTGGAGATGATTAACATTTTAAGTGGATGGCATTTTAAGTGATACTCAACACTTCTATCTCACATCAACAGCAATAGGACATGGCTAGAAAATTATTGGAGTAGAGGCTTGGCGCCTGTGGCTCAAGTGGCTAAGGCACCAGCCACATACACCTAAGGTGGCAGGTTCGCATCCAGCCCGGGCCCACCAAACAACGATGGCTGCAACCAAAAAATAGCCAGGTGTTGTGGCGGGCGCCTGTGGTCCCAGCTACTTGGGAGGCTGAGGCAGGAGACTCGCTTGAGCCCAAGAGTTGGAGGTTGCTGTGAGCTGTGATGCCATGGCACTCTCTACCCAGGGAGATAGCTTGAGGCTCTGTCTCAAAAAAAAAAAAAAAAAAAAAAAAGAGGGATCATTCATATATTCTCTGAGATATTGAAGACCAGAAGGTAAAAAATTGTCAAGGCATTAAAAAAAAAAGAAAATTATTAGAGAAGACAGTATGAGCTCCAGTTAATTTTATGCTGTTGTGATTCAATCTTTATATCTGTTTACAAATATAGTCTGTAAGTAAGTATGTAAGTTTTAACTTTTGGTAATGGATTTGTGTATATTTCATGGTAGTAAATGATGAAATAGACTAGTACCTTCTAGTGTCCAGGGCCCACTAATGTCCAGGGACATTATATTTTATGTGTTCATGACATACCTAACTTATTAATTTTTTCAGTATTTCTGGGTGACATGATTTGTATATAAAGTTTTTCAAATTTTTCACAAGTATACAAAAATTTCTCCACTTTATTTATTTATTTATTTATTTATTTATTTAGAGACAGAGCCTCAAGCTGTCCCCTTGGGTAGAGTGCCGTGGCATTACAGCTCACAGCAACCTCCAACTCTTGGGCTCAAGCGAGTCTCCTGCCTCAGCCTCGGGTCCAGGCTGGGGATTCGAACCCGCCACCTTAGGTGTACGTGGCTGGCGCCTTAGCCAGTTGAGCTATAGGCGCCGAGCCCACTATATTTATTGAAAAAAAAAACCTGACATATACACACTTCACACCTGTGTGGTAAAAAGGTCAACTGCTAATGATTTCATATAAAAAGTCTTTCTCAGGATACCTAGTACATATATCATAAAATGACTTTAAGTCATATAAGAATACATTCAATTAGTCATCTCTCCTGTGTTTTCATAAGAAAAAATAATATTAGAGACCAAGAATGAATAGGGATTAAAAGCATGGTCTTTAGGATTAGACACATTTGAATTTAATTTCTGGCGTAGCCTTTATTTATTACTATGACTTAATTTCCTTAATTCTTCTATAGTCTCTTATGTTTTCATCTATAAAATGGGAATGAAAATTCCTTCTCTACATAGAAGTTGTGAGGTTTAAATGATATAGAAAATGTAATATGCATTGCATGGTGTAAATGATTGTCACCATTAAGATTGGCAGTGCAATTTTAATTAGTCTTTGAAATTTGGAATCGTCTTTTTATTATGGACTGCAGAAGCTTCTGCAGGTTTCGTAAATAGCCTCATAACCATGAATGAATGATGCCCATGTGGCACTATTTTGTCCCCTTAAGGGATCATTCTTTACAAGTCAGATGCTCCTTTTCCCAAGATGTCATAGTTCAGCATTTTCATTCTCATGAGTTATAGATATATAT